TATACCGTGGGTAACATGCCAAAACCGCAAAAACCACTGTAATCCCTAGTCCAGTTTCACACCGGAACTGAGGCTGACGAGTTATGATTCCCAAATTTGCCGGTCGCGCTGCTTCTATTGTTACAAAGATCTTTGGAATCGTGCGTACATCAGCAAGCTCAAGGCAATCGCGGTGACTTACGCGTGGTTTAGTTTTAAGTGATAGTAAACTTGCGTTACATCTGTCACACTTTCTCCCTAGCGGGCCGGTGTCATGACCAAGCCAAGAAGACGGAAGGCAAAAGAGGGCGCATGTGAATGGCGCGGCCGGAGCCACCCTAGGCGCGCCGCCCAGAATTGTAAATACTAGAATATACAATAACATATAAGTGTACACCAATCAGCTAGAGGACACACACGTCCGTCCATGATTGCTTTGGAACTCACACTCGAGCCTACTTTGCAAGGCGGCTAAGGACAGAGGCAGAAGAACATTACCTATAAAGACAAGGGAGACTAGAATAGCCAGTTCTGGTTTATTAACCGTCGTTAGCCAGTCAGACTCAACTCAAGTGTTGGCCCACAAACTGATGCCCCGCTCGAGTATCGAACCCGCAACTACGTTAGTCAGAAGTCCAACGCTCTAACCACTGCGCCGTCACGGATTTGCTGTCTTGTCGGTTTTCGATCGGCCTACCATTCAGCTACGAGGCTCACTGTGAGCCGTGAATTTAATCAGACTTGGATCGATTAAAAAATCTGCCAAACTCCCCTAACAATTAAGTGAGCCTAGTAGTCAGTCAGGTAGATGATTGCTTAAGAAATCCTGTGTGAGCAGTCAGCTTTCTGTTCCTTAATGGTGGATTCCATACAAGCAGTAAGTTGGGCGGGTAAAATCGATCCAAGTGTGATTAAATTCACGGCTTACGATGAGCCTAATAGCTGAATGGTAGGGCGTTGGCTGCGCAAAAGCCCTCCCTCATGTGTAGGTTCGACTCTCATCGAGGCCGCGAGTACTTTCACATTGGGTCAACTAAATCGAGCAAATCTGCCAAACCTCCCTAAAAATATATAGTTCGTCGGTAATGTCCTTCTGTCTATATCATTAGCCGCCTTGCGGCGTAGGCTCGACTGTGACCTCCAAAGGCACCATGGACGGACGAGTGTGGCCTCTAACTGATCGCTGTAGGCTTATCTGCCACTGTATATATTCCGGATCAAAAAATCGACAAGACAACGAGCCCGCGGCGCAGTGGTTAGGTCGTTGGACTTCTAAATAACAAGGTCGCGGGTTCAAAACTCGAGCGGGGCAACAATTTCTGGGGCAAGACTTGCGCTGCGTATGACTAACTGACGACGGCCAATAATCCAGAAATGGTCATCCTAGTCTTTCTTTTCTTTGTCGGTAATTTCTGTCTGCCTAAACTAGAATACGTATGCAAAATACGCCTAGTCCCGACATCTGAGACACTCTAACAATTGACTGGTTTACGGCTGAGGGAAGGATGCGAAACCAACGCTAAAGACGTCTTCCCCACGGCACTCCAACACTATCTTCACTGTAATAAATCTGGAGTAGATGTTGCCGATTGACAAGGCAACTCGGCCCTCACATAGCGAAGAGTCGGTTGCAATGGCTGCATCTTAATCATGTCTTTCATGGAATCCTACCAGATCCGAGGCAAACCATTGTTTCTGTGGAAGGCTAAGCAATCGTGCACGAACCAGGAGACCGACGTGTAAGAAGAGGAGAGATTGTTGTAGATGGCGCACATATCTAATATCAAGTCTAGTTTCTGGGTACATAAGCGGCAACGACGGTCAAAGTGTCAGTTACGGTAACTCGTGTATTTACTCAAAAAGCGATAAGACAGATGTACAGAGAAAGCAGACAATATGCACAGCTGATAACGAACAAGGAGTGTTTGCTACCGACATTCAACTAGGCATCACGCAACAAAACTAGTGTAGTCGACGTTAAGAATGTCCAACACTTCCGCTAGGCAACTGTCTACGGTCATTAAAACTGTGTCATCGTCCGGAAACTACACATCTGGCGTGCAGGCGCGCCGCCAATACGCACCAGAAGTCTTAGTTAATTGCAAACGAACCATAACCGAAAAGCCATCTTATGCTTGTAACTGAGTTAAGCATATTGGTCATCACAGACAAATTTGATTAAAAATATAGCGTCCACATTAGCCCAAAGCTAAAATCCAATTTCTGCTGATAATTTAGAGTGCTCGCTGTCATAGAGTTTTGTATCGAAGGAGAGAAAAAGAAGAAACCGAACGACGAGAACAGAGAGCCATTTAAGTGGGAAGATAAACCTACCCCACCACGTGATGTGACGTCGGCAGCCGTCTCCTCCAGACTCCCACCCACATCACCCTTCTTCGGGTCGCCTTTAGGCTTAAGAGTGCGACCAGTGAGATATACGGTGGCGCCACACCCGCCCAGGGCAAGTGCGATGCCACGGCCGATGCCCCGACTGGCACCCGTCACGAGACAGACGCACCCTTTGAGGTTGGGTAATACGTTACCAGCCATGAAGATGAAGCTGGAGGATAAAAAAATGATGCAGTTAAGATAGCTGTCATGGAGTCGTAAATAGGTATGCCAGACGGCAATGAACACAGCCCGTCAGTCCATGACCACCCAGATATGATTGGCGTTCGATTCTAGTCCGAATGATCAGATAAATATAGCTGATCAGCTGTACAAAGCCGCTAATATTTGATTATGTTGGACAGTACATTTTTACCTATATGCTACATAAAATAAGCACGATATCTACATCAAAACGCTTTTCAACAAGTGCTTCATTGCAGCTACAGAAAGAGGGTAGCTATTTCAGGAGGAAAGGATCCCAATGTTCAAATGAAAAATAACATACGAATTTTCGTCAAGAATTCGCTGTGGATTCGTGTGCCAAACTCGTATATGATTATCATACTAATTTACGTACGTTCGTAACCAATTCTCCTGATAGCAAAGCTCTTAGGCAGCAGGCGTCACGTGCACTACAGTACTGCGTAGCGTCGCTGCCTCTCTGCGAACTCGTTCGCGCAAGCGCGCCCGCTGCTCGGGCGTATGCTGCAGTAGTACGTTAGACGTCTAAAGTGCGTTGCAGATTCGTAGTCAGTTCGCTATAAATGCCGCAGATATGCATTTTAAAATGTATACAAGAACATATATTTACGAATTATATATAAATTATAAATAATTGTTGATTAACAATTGTAATTTCGATTTAACTGCAATTTATATGATCATATATATATATATATAT